AGAAAATAAAGGAAATGAACAATTTATTTGAAATTATCTTTCCTGAGGGTGCAGTAAAAATTGTTTGTCACTGTGTGGCAGTGTGCTACACATTACTCCTTGCTCTGCTGTATCAGATGAGACTTTTTGGGAGTGGCTAACAAACATGTTTAATTGCAGCCTTTTAACACTCCTTTACATCCCTTGATTTTTTTTTTTTGATTTTTTTTTGGTTATACTTGTTTTTTATAGAGTCCATAAAGCATACTGTGTTTTATTTTGTCAGTCTGATTACAGCCATTTTTGCTGCAATCTTTGCTATTCTTGTGAGATCTGCCTGGGACAGAGGTTTCTGACAGTGCATATCACAGCTCTAGAGGTGCACCCAGAAATGCTGATTATACTCTGAACAGGATGACACTGTAGTGCCTAAACTAGAGTTTTTGCTATGCTGTGTTCATTTTCAAGATATATCTGACCTCTCGCCTGCATCATGGCATTAGCAGATCTTCTCTATGATGTCTGATCCTCAGTTCCTTCCTGTGCCTGGATTTAAAAAGGTCCTAAGTGGCAAAAATGAAAACTTGTGGGAAAGCTGATATCCACCTTGAGTTTACTACTTTAGGCAAATTCTGGTGTTGGAAGGGGAGAGTGGCATACTGATTTTATCAATTGTCTCACTTTTGCTTATTTCAATTATGTTTTAAAGTACTAAAGTTATTTTACAATCCAAGATATAAATTTCTAAAAAATAAAAGGATAACATGGGTTGTGGCTGTTCCAGGTCATTTGTATTGTTTGCTTAGTTTCCAAAGCTGAGCCTGGTTGCTACTAGGAGGATTTAATGGTATGCTCTTCTGGAACATTGTTAGAACCTCTTTGCTGTTAATGATAATTATGATGTGTATTTTTACTGCAGGTTGGAAATGAGAGACTGCATCATTGTACATCCAGGCGCTGCCTGTGTCATGGTGAGCTTGTTGCCAAAGCTGTACAAAGAAGGACATGCTCAGGTGAGTCTGAACATATCAAAATGCCATCAAAACAGTGTCTTCTACTTCTCTGGAGCTTCATTTCCAGGAATTGCTTACTCTTTGCAAATGTGGCAGTACTAAAATTTACCCACAACACTGTCAGGACAAACAGCACAAATTTCACGGAGTCAACAGATGTAAGAACAAAGACTTTTGGCTCTCAATTTGCCTTTTTTGTACATGCCTGATGTCGTACACGGATTTTGGCCCCAGAATACTTATTGCAAAGGCATAATGTAGAAGGGCCCTGAAAACTGTTTCAAGTATTGCAAACAGGCCTAGCAACCTGAACAGTCTGACACTCTAGACCTAATGGTCCATAAACTTTCAATTTAGTCTTAGCAGCTTAGAATGTGTTTTTCTTTGTCAAACCTTCCATATATATACACACCACCTCTGAAGATACTGCCTATATTGCTTTGGCTGTTTGGTCTAAAATACTTGAATACTGTCAAAGTACATATGGAGGGACTGAAATAAAACCAGGTTGTTCATCCAGATCCCTGAAAGGGATAAATAACTCCTGGCACATTACAACTCTGTTTATTGGAATCAAGCCATCAGCTAGTGAAATTTTGTTAATTACAGTAATTAATTTCTGAAAAACAAGTAGGATGGTTAATTGGATGAGAGTGTCATCATGAAATTGGAACTGGCTCTGGGACTTGAGCTCTGTAAGAGGGAGAGCCTCTCAGATCCTCAGTAGATGGCACTGTTCCTAAAAATATGAAAGACTAAAGCACAGATTGCTGCAATTTCAGTTATGTATTTAAGAATGCTCATATTTTCTTTTTTCCTTCACTCCTTTTTTCTTAGCCAGTAAGAAATTAATCCTGGTAGTGTTTTAGTATTGCTGTTGTGAATATGATTGCCTCCTGTAAAATTGGACCACTATTACGCAAGGTCCTGCGACAAACTCCAGCTAGAAATTAACAAATGTCTTGAAGAGTTGTCATAAAATAACCCACAAAAAAGGATAAAGCAAAAACAGAATTTTCCTGGGTATTTCTATTCAAAAATCATTGAATGAGAGAGCTACTGAATAGAGTATTACAGAGCTTGGGAATCTCACTGATGCTGCCAGGTAGAGACATAAAAGACTGAGCTTCAATACCTTTAATCATAACATATTCCACTGCATGAATCCTTGTGCCAGGAGATTCTGCTTGGAACACAGGAGTCAGGTAAGATCTGATGCAAAAGGTTTAACCTCAGAGGCTAGTGAAGGGGAGCTACTTGGTAGAAGGAAAATAACCGAAGGAATTGCTCTTTGGGTAGATATATTCTGTTCCAAACAGGGTACTATTTTTTTTTTCTAGTGCCACAGTATTTAACAGCTAGATGAGATTAAATAATAGCTTTGTGGATGTACTGCAGACTTTCATAAAAAAGGTCTTAAGGGGCTTCTTGCTCTGAATTTAAGACTGAATAAAAAAGTACAGTTTTTAGGAGCAAATGTGGAGAAGAAGAGACAATAACTCATCTCTTCCTGTTTGCTTTAGTGCTGCAATAAATACTTTAGGTCCAAGTGTCCTGTAGTAATCTGGAAAAATCTTAGAATCAGCTCAGGTCACATGTGATTCCTTTGCTTTCACAGAATTGGCAATGAGAAAGCACTGCTTTTAGAGAAACATGAATGGAACTCAATAAAATTAATGTACTTTTGATTTTGACCCTCAGAAATAATATCAATTTCCTGCCAATTTTGCAACTTCTCAATGACCTTTTTCAGACCCAGGAAATGATGGGCTGAAGCACTGTTGAGCCTGTCTGTGTAGAAAACCCAACAGCAGACAGTAAAACAGGTCATTTTCCATTTCAGTCACTTCTTATACTTTCTGGAATGACAGCTAAAAGCTGAGGAGAATAGATTTGTGAATGTATATTCCTGCCATTGTTAGGCATAATGAAAAAAAATCATTTGAATGTCATAGGTACAGAAACTTGCTTAAAACTTGAAAACTGACCTAGAGTTTTGGGTCAGTAAACAGCCTTTGAGTCAGTAAACTGTACATTGCACCTGTTTCAAACACTTAGTAAACTGAGACAGGTACCCACCCACTTTAGATATGTGGCCCAGGATATTCACAGGATGTTTTATAACTTGAAAAGAAAGAAGTTTCCTCTCAGATGCATCTCATCCTTGACTGAAATTTTAAATTCCAGAGTGTCATGACAAATCTTTTTCATTTGTAATGTCAGATAGAGATCATCTAGATCTGACAAAGGTGAGTAGGGGAAAGGAAAGAACTTCTGAGAATAGAATAAAAGCATGATTCAGTTCTGTCTCATCATCCTGGCAGGTTTCTTCTGAATACAGACAAAAAATAAACCTCACATAATTCATCATGTAAATTATTTATACTTTTACTAAATAATATTATTGCTTCCACAGCTGGATTATTCCTTTTGGTTTTCATCCATGTCTCTTGTATGATGATCTGCTGTCACAGTCACTGTTGTGAAAGTAAAACATTGTCCATCAATAAGGATTTTGAACCTTTTAAAAAGACCCTTATCCCTGTTTTAAATTTAGGCTAAATGACTTGTTCTCCCTATAGATGTTAAAAAAGTAAAATTTTTCAAGTATTTCTGAACACATAATTATTGCTGTATTGTTTTTTAATCTAAGGAAATTGCATTCTTTAAAAGTGAATGCACAGCGACGGAAGTTCATAATTTTTGCTTATCTTGAATATAGCATAATAATCTTGAAGATGAATAACAGTGAATTAAATTCAGCGACCAAGTTTTGAAACCGTGAGCTCTTAGGAGAAAGAATCTGGGAGCTACTTAAGCAGATGGGCAAATTGCTAGGTGACATTTGCCCTTAAAACTCTAATCAGGGGCAGAGCTCTGCTACATTCTAACTGCACCTTCTATATCCTGATTCATGATGCAAGTAATAAGTGTTAAAAAAATCAATCAATGCATACAGAAGTACATGGCATGCTTTCCTGGCCACCTTTAGTATTTCAACTAAAATCTCATTTTACTGGAACAAAGATCCATGAAAACAGCTCATTTTTTTCAAAACAAGGCAATATCAGTATTGACAGAGATGCTCGGCTAATGAAAACAATCAATCTTTTTGTAACCATTATGCTTTTATTGGATTTATTTTGGAATAAACTGCTTGCTTCACTTTGTCAAGACCTGTGTAATTCTCTGTTTGGTGGTATGTACACGCACTTTCCTGCATATAGTCAGAAATTGAGTAAAATGTTAATTAAAAGATTAAAATTTGTGAGACTTTGAAACACTGCAATAGTGTAGTTTAGTCTGGTGGACACTTTCTATGTGTAATGTGATGCCACATATGTCCCTGGCAATGAATAGTCCTTTAGAGAGAAGAAAATGTTATCCAAAGACCTCACCCTTCATATATGACAAACGGTAGTTAAGTTTGCAAAAACAGTACGTATATTGCAATGGATGTATTGCTTTCTAATGGTTGCACTTGGGGTCACTTTGAAAAAAAATTGCTTGTTGGCTTTGAAGTTGTCCTGTATTGGCTTTGTCTGGTTGAATGCAAAAGAGGTCAATTCCTCTTTACACTTAATAAGCTTATTCTTTATCCAGTTGCTTCTCATTCATGTTATAAAGTCAAATCCCACTGCCTTAATTTGCATGCCTGTCACCACTGTTGTCTTTTTCTTTAAAAGTCTGCACATCTGTTTCCTAGAAGAGCATGTGAAAAAGCTTGAAAGCTCTTGGAAATAGGGAATAATTAATCTTTGTAAGATTTGTGTTTAAATATATGATCCATTTCTTTTACAAGAAATATAATTAGGTCAATGGGGTACAATGCATTCCTAACTGGGAACAAATTGCTCTAAAGATAATTTATGAGAATTGAGAGACTTTAAGATCATTAAGAAGCAATAATGAAGGAAAGCTTCAATTCAGCAAATCATATAAAGAAGCTTTTAAAATTGTTTCATGACATTACTTGATACAGTTTTGTTTAATAACAGTGCTTTTAGAATGAAGAGTAGATAATGTCAATATGGCTCTCCACAGGCTTAATGTTAAATATATTCTGAGTTCCTATGTTGATCTTGGAGTTTATGCCTAACAACCTGCCCTTGGTGGCGGTCCCCTGTTTTTAAATGGCAGCTGATAGTTTTCTTCCTTCACTGCCATAGGGTCGAGGCAGGAAAGCTGAGCTGTGGATAGCCAGGCATCTGCTCAGATGAATACATGCACACTGTTCTAGTGCAGAGCTTGATAGAACAGCCATGCAGTTCTGCTTGAGCCTCTTGCCTTAGGGCTTCTTTTCTGGACCAGATGTTTACACACAGGGATTTGACAACTGATAAACAAATTAAAACAGAAGAAATCAGTTGCCCTATACTGTTTAGTTCCAGCCCTCTGACTTTACTTCTGTGTCCATTTCAGCTTTCCCTGGAAATTCAATGTGCTCTGGTTGATCATATCCAGTCCTTAGTGAAGTCAGAGAAGAGCCGACAGGTGATGTGTGAGTCTGGCCTGCTGAGCACAATCATAACCTCCTGTCAAGATGCTTTCTACAGTGACAGTCATCCCCTGCATCTGCCCCTCACGAGGGTGTTTGAGAAGCTGGCATCTCAGGCTGTTGAGCCACACGTGTTAAGGTATAAAATTTGTATCTAATGGAAACAATTTGCTTTGGTAGTGCCATTTTTTTTTTGCAAAGTTTATAAAATAATTACATGCTTAACATAGTGCTCGAATTAAGCAAGTCTTAGCCTTTTCTTTCAAGTTCCAGTTAATCCTTGCTCTTTGATTGCAGGATATATGCTTAAATGACTCCTGAGGATGGAACAAGTGTGTAGTTTTCTGCTGCATCATTTTTGCAGGGGTTGTAAAGCCACTTATGAATGAACTAATTAAGTCATTGCAAAACAACCAGGGTTATTCTCTTGTGACATTTATATGGAGAAAATGTTTTCTACAGAGTAAAAATTACTTTCTCATGTCTCAGATCCATGTCAGTGAGAGATGCAAAAATAAAAAGTGCAATCTTCCTCAGTCGCTGTTTCCAGTTTGAAGTTGCACTTTCTTCATTAATGCTAACAAGTGCTAGACATTACCTAACAGTTACCAGAGTGCAGATGAATTTAAATATTCAGTTGAAGACTGTATTTCCTTCACTCAAATACAGTACAGGATTTCTTAAAGAGAACTCAATTAAAAACCCCAATCCATAGATTTATTTTTTTCTGAAAAATTAGGGCTACTCAAAAATATTGATGGAGAAAAGAAATCTTTGGGGTTTTTTCAACAGGAAAACCTTGAAAGGAAATGTAAAGCAAGCAAAATATTTGTGCTGCCACAGTGGAAAATGCTTCTTCTGTTCTATTTTGGATGTCTTTAAAACTTAGTGTTCAATAGAAAAATTGTTGTCCAGAAGTCTAAGCTCTATTTGTGTGGTTGCTGTGACTCAAAAGTGTCTGGCTTGTTTTTCTTTTTTTAAGTTGCCTTATTTTTTTTTTATGTTAGGCAATTTCTGTGGTTGGGGGCTTCTCCATTACCACCTTTGAGGCCCAGCGCAAACAAGACCAAGGTCCTTTCACATCAGAAGAGTGATTCAGCTAATGCAGGTAAGCACACAATGAACAGCCTGTTGCTGATGCAGTGTCTGAGTCAGAGATATCTATGAAATGACAGGACACAGCTGTTGAGTAGGTTGTTCCAAGACAATCACTGTGAAAGGTGAATTATTCCCCAAAGATTTTCACTGGGTGTTTCCCAGGTTGGGTGGTACTTGACCAACCTGAGAGCTGATCTAATGGCCAGCAGAGATCACGTTATATTTTTGCTCAAGTTAGATGTCGAGTAGACTCAGATTTTACTGGATTAGACAAGGACATGGTTTATAAAAATACTAATATTCTACATACTAAGGGGAGTGTATCTTTTGTTTTCAGCATATTTTTCCTGTGATTTATAGCTAGAAATAGAATAAGGATGGGAATAAAGAGTGCTGCTTTTTGTAGTCCCTAGGATATCCTAGTAACCTACCTTGCTTATGCAGGCTATTTTCTATCTGAGTAGTTTCTCTGCTCTAATGTATTTTATAGATGAGAGGCTACAGTATAGTAGTATTTGGTGCTTAAACTAGTCTCATGCCTGAGACACCTGGTCTGTATTCGGGTCTTATGTTCTTTAAAGTCATTCTTCAAATCTCTCCCACATGTTGCTTGTGACTATTCTGTTACAGCAGAATTGAATGAATGGTCTTTGTATATGAAAAATGGAACCAATGGGTTGGGGTAATTTTTTAATAGGGTGAGTTCTGGAGCTGTCTGAAGATGTATGGGAAGAAAATATGGCTAAAATATGGCTATGGCTCTCCTGACAGCCTCTCATTTTGAAATGCCTTCAGTGCAATATTTTTTTGTATTGCTGTAGAATTTCTGGAGGCTGCTGAGGATGTGTTCTCTCAAGAGCATGAAGTGCTGTTCTGAGTAGGGATGCATAGAATATGGGCTGTACCTGTGACTAGAAAAAGACTTGCAGACATTGATCTGGTTAGGCACTGTTGTTCATCTTTCAGGTTCAGAAGAGAGTGTGGTGGACAGTAAATCTGATCCTCAGACTGTTGTGCCTGTCAGAACCTCTCCTTGGCTGTCCAAGGGATCTACACTGGCACTCCAGACTGCCATGAGTCTCATCTCCATGACATCACCTCGGAACTTCCAGCTACACAGCACTGCTTTAGCTCCATCATTTGTGGAGTTTGACATGTCCATGGAAGGCTATGGGTATTCCTGCTGTTGCTTTTATTTTAGCTGCTCTGAGGTCTCCAAGCCCTTACTCTGAACACAGTAACTATTCATTTCTCTCTTCATCTCAATCTATGTACCCTGTGGCTGCTGTCCCTGTAGCAATATTGCCAACATATTTCATTACTGTCTTATTGCTGACAGCCTGCTATCTCCCTTGCTGTCATGATTTTGCAGTACTAGAAGTCACTGATGACCTTCAGGGATGATTTTTGTTTCTGATGACAGGTTCTTGCTTGCTTCTGTATAGGTGTTTATACCTCCCTACCTTGGCCACTGTCATGGGATCCAGTGCAGACCAGTCTCTCTTGGGAGGGACTGGCATGGGTAAGCATTTGTGATTCACAGCTTGCTGGGAGCACTGACTTCTCAGCCCCAATGAAGGCATTCAACAGCTTTAAGAAAGGGCAGCACATAAGCTGTGTGTTTCAAAACATTTCTGTCTCTGTGTCCCAGACCAGCTCTGAACTGTGTAATTTGTATTGCTTAGCAAAATGGGGAACTAGGTGCAACTTCATGGTGTGATGAATTAATATTAGCAATACAGATTTAAAGCGGGCTTCTAAGAAAACAATCTTAACAAGACCCACCAGATTTTAGGGTAATCTCCTATGGAAGGAATAGGAACTGTCAGTTAATGGGATTCTCCTGTACAACAAAATCCTCTATTGGGTGGACCTGTGATATTGAATACAGGCAATGAAATCCAACATAATAGAAATTAAACCCCATAATCTAATGTTGGTTCTTCCATAATATAGAAGAAAGAAACAGAAAGTAGTTAGAAAGTAGTTTCCTAATGGCTGCACAAGGAAAGCAACTTCCTTAACAGTTTTTTTGTTCCTGTCTACAGGCAGCAGAATGTTCCCTCCCTCAAGTGGCCTGACACTCTCCTGCTGGTTCCTGGTTAGCAAGTTTGGTTTGGCACACAACAGCCACCCACTCCGCTTCCTGACAGTGGTGAGGCACATGTCAAGAACAGAACAAGAATTTGTTTGCTTTTCTGTAAGCTTCTTCCCACAGGACCTTTCTCTGGTCATTTCTACAGAAGAAGTGGAATTCCAGCCACTTGGTAAGGCTCTTTTCAGTCAAGCTGCAGTGTTGTGTCCTCCTGTTATCAGGAATTTTTCATTAATAAATTTCCTCTTCTTTGAAGTACCCAGGATATTAATGATATTTCTTGAATCCAGTTGTGATTGTAATTGTTGCCCAGGGTTAATGTTTTTGTTTGCTGTAGGCATTGTGAATTACTAAAATATTCAGTGGAAAATTTTTGAGTGTCACTTATATTGTGGTATGCAGTTGTGGAGACTGGGCTTGAACCAGTCTATTCTGTGTGACACTAAGCAGGTTATGAGAGTAGGACTGAGGATTTGGGGAGTGATCTAGCTTCCTAATGAAACAACTCATTTCCTCTCTTTGCTTTCAGAATATTTTCTATTATGCCAGTCTGTTATGATTGTTCCCTGTTGATATTTATCCCCTTTTCCTTATTGAGTAGAATAGGTACTTCATATGTGAATGTGATTAGATATTCCAGAGGAGGTTGGAAATGGAGTGGGAATAGTAGCTGGAACTTTTTCATGCACAGCTGACATTGTGTAGGTGCTCTGATTGCCTTAGATAATGATAAAAATTCCAGATTGCCTGTTTTCATAAAAGCTACAAATTAATACAGAGACTTTTATCATCTCATGGATTTGCTAGAAATTTCTTCTGTGTCAGCTAACTCTGTAAATACACAGAGAGGTTCTCCTCTTAGTGAATATGCTGGGTTTGTCCCAGTTCAGGGTAGTTTTGCAGTATCAAGAAAGGTAGCAGGTGTTATCTGGGAGGGTGACACATTGTGTTGGAGGCATCTTGAGAGCTGTGCAAGTTTTACGTCCTGATAACAGACCTTGGGCAGTGTTTTAAAGACATTAGACCTAATAGCATCAAATCACACTCCACCTTCAGTGTGTCGTGTTCTTTCTGTCACATTTGAAAGTTGTGTTCCCAGATATAATGGAACCTGAGGGTGAGGTCCTAAATCCCTCCCCGTTTCCAGGGCAAATCCAGTTTGGCTGTGGTAAACTTCTGGTTATTGGTCAGTGGCATCATCTCACAGTGACAGTTGCTAAGGAAGCAAAGAAGAGCTGTGTTGTGTCAGCTTACGTTAATGGTCACATTCTTGGCTCTGCAAAGGTAAAGGCTCTCTGCATAGATCTTGTGCCTCATTTTTGCCTTGCATTGCTTTTCATTGTCATCTCCCAATGCATCTACTGTGACTTTTCAGTATTAATCTGAGAAACTCAAAGCATGGTGATTTACACATGCCACTGTGCTGGGTGTGAGTCGAGTCAGAAATCCATACAAAACAGGGAGTACTTGTGCTGCTTTTCACAAGTATGCTTTGAACTATTTCTCCTCTCCCCTTTCAGCCTGTAGATAACCAGGGCAATTTGTGTGATGATGCTCCTCTGGTGTCAAGGATACCTATGTTGCAGGTAGCTCAGGGTTATGTTGCTGAAATTCTGTTATACACTTAGGTCAACATTTTCAGAGTTGACTAGTGATTCAAGGGATCTGTCAGTTAAAGCCCAAGATCTGCAGAAGTTGCCAGCTATAAAAAGTACTTCACATCAAGGTGTGACCAGAAAGCCCTAAACCAAGGATGACTTGGATTTAGGCTAAAACCTGCAAAGGTGATGAGTTACCCAGAGAGTCTCCACTCTTATGAAGAAAGCTTTCGAAAGGAGAAAAGGTCACAGAGAAATAAGCTCCTGTGACTGGCCAGTTCTTTGCTAGAATCCAAAGGCAGTGGGAATTTCCTCAAGCATCTTATTTGGTCATGTTTCAAGCTTACATGTTTCATTTTCTCTTACACCCTTTGAACAGTCAGTCATTGGTCTTTTTCCTCACTAGCAGGCTAAGCACTCAGGAACAGAAAGCTGTTCCTATGGATTACTTGTTCAGTGTGTGAGATGATATCAATTCATGAGTTCATTGCTAATACTGATGTACTGGTATTTCCCCTAATATGCAATTCCTTGTGATTTTTGTCACACAGCAGTTGATTCTCAGGTTGCATGAAATATCAGGCAAAAGTAATCCAAATGTACCTGAAGGGTTCATAATCTGAGATAAATGAGAATAGCCCCTGGTTTCTATTATTAATATCATCATGTTCCTGGTTTTGAATACAGTGTAAAAAATACAGACTGTTCTTTCTGTTATATTTCTGGTTGATGTGGTGTGGTTTTGGTTTTTGAGTAGAGTCCTTTTATGAATTAGAACTTGTAACCTTGGTCTCTTCCTTTTTGTTCCCATACTTCAATTCAATCTCAGCATGTGCAAAGCTCACTTGTGTGTTTTATTCTTCCCTTGTAAATACAACCTGTTTAATTCCAAATATTCTCCTTCCTATACTTGAGAGAAAATACCTCTTATAAATGCCTTTTGGGACCTATATCCATTCCAAGAATGAAAATTTAATTTTATTTGACTTCCTTCAAATAAGACTGAAAGTCATCAATAAAACTAGGCCTAAACATTGCAATCGATGAAAAAATTCACAACAAGTATGTTTAACATTCAATAAAACAGCTCATATAAATAAGATAGTCATTAGTAAACAAAAGATTGTCTCAGTGTTGGGTTCTCTGACTTAATGAAAGCCTTCATCTTGATATATACAGTGAAGAAAAGATTGTTTAGGAAGTGAGAAACGGACAAAGGTTGTAAACAATACCAAAGGCTATTTTTAGTTGGTGGAGCTGGAATGAGGTGTATTACTATGTTGCATCAAGTCTAATATTTATTCACTCAAGTGTCAACTTCTGCCTCTTAATATTGACCGGCCCTGTTTTCTACATCTCAGTAGTCAGAGGCCAGAAAATGCTTGGAGTCTCCCATCCCAACAGCAAATTGTTAAAGAATTGCGAAGCCCCAAAGTACAATATAGTTTCTCTCTACCAAAAAAATTCTAACTACTTCATATTAGAGCTCTCTACAGTTAAATCAAATAATGGACTCAGTTTAAAAGGCCAAAGGTACCACTTTGGTAGCAAAAATAAATGGCCCTGTTTCTTAAACAATGTTATCTCCGCTGAAGCTTACTGATGCAATTGGACAATCTACACTCTTCAAAAAATGCTTATTCTCCATTTATGCCAGTACAAAGTGTGATCTGTAACTTTTCTTTCTCTGTCGAATGTCACAGTCAGGGTTATGAAATTAGGAAAGGAAAAATATGTCTTGAGTCAAGACAGGGTTTTTCTTTGCCAATACTTGAAATTCTTTTGACTGTTTTTGGAACAAAAATTAGGCTTAAATGTTCAAAATGCTTATGTTTACGGTACTTCCCAAAGTCCAGTTTCTGAACAGTAGTTGATAATTGTTGCGGTGGGTTGACCTTGGCTGGATGCCAGGTGCCCATACAGCAGCTGCATCACTCCCCAGCTGGACTGAGGAGAGAAAGTTAGATGGAAAAATGACTCCTAACTTGAGATATGGCAGTTTATTAAAGCAGAAGTGGGTTTTCATGTGCACAAGCAAAGAAAAAAAAAAAAAACAAAACAGGTTTATTCTCTACTTCCCATCAGTGAGTGTTGTTGAGCCACTTCCTGGGAAGCAGGGCTTCAGCACATGGAGCAGTTGCTATGGGAGGCAAGCATTGTAAATAATGAATTCCCTCCCTTCCTCCTCCTTTTCTTAGCTTTCATGTCTGAGTTTACATTATATGGTATGGAATATCTCTGTTGTTAATTTGGGCCAGCTGGCTTAGTTGTGTCACCTCCTAGGATGTTGCCCACTCCCAGCCCCTTGATGGGGGAATGTTGGAGAGGCTGTGCTGATGCTACCAGCTCTGCTCAGGAGTAGCCAAAACTCTGGTGTGTTCTCAACTCCTGTATAGCTCCCAGTGTAAAGCACAGCACTGTGAGGGCTGCTGTGGGAAAATGAGCTCCAGCTCAGCCAAAGCCAATACAATTGTGTTGCACAGCTGACTGAGACTTCAGTGAGAAAAGAGGTGGCAGGAAATACCTTTTACAGGGACAAAACCCCAGGGCACCCTGAGTGTACTGGATCCCCTCAGCGAATTCCTTCTCTGTTGTAGATGCAGTATCTCCAGCCTTTACCAGGTGGCTGTATGTCCATGGAACCCTCTTCTTTTATTGATGTCTATGGGTACATAGGTACTCCTCGAATTTGGAAACAGAAGTCCTCCTTGACCTGGCGCCTTGGTCCTACGTACTTGTTCGAAGAAGCCATTTCTATGGAAACCATAGAAGTTATTATTAAGCTTGGCCCTCAGTATTGTAGCAATTTCCAAGCAGTACAACTTCACGGTATGTGATAATTCTAATATCTGCCACTATTTGTTTGCCAGGGCAGTGTTATTTTAACTCTTATAATCTTCTATTAGTGTTCCAGTTGTGTCTAGAGATCACTCTAAAAGTTTGGAGAACTGCTTTACTGAATGTTGTACTAGTTTGTAGTTAGATACATGAGGATCTTGTAACATACTGTGAATTGGAAAGAAGAGTAAGAGCCAAGAAGCAGAGACAGATGAAGAGTAAAGAGGGATAAATGTCCTGAGCTGCAAGATTGTGTTTTCTGTTGGACAAACATTAAAGCAGAAGCTTTAACAGACATTCTGCATTAACAGTGCTAACAGGGAAAAAAAAAGGCAGAAAGAGAAGTATGGAGTTTAACTGCAAATGCCAGTAGAATAGGAGAGAGGGGTAGGGGAGTAAGTTATATTCCATTTAATGAAGAGGCTTTTTAACTCAAGTATGTTGTTAGCTTCAACAATTAAACAGGCAGACAAAACATTTCAGTTATTGATTACTGTTTGTTCAACAAGTAGTGCATTCACCTTTGTACTAGAGCTTGGGATGAAATGGGATGGTCATTTCTCATTTGAAAAGAGCAAAATAATCTTTCTTGGTGAAGCTCCAGCCTGAAACAATGAAAAAAGACCAAGAGTACTCCTTCAGACAGAATGTTGTCAATCTACACACAAAAAGCTGCAAGTCAGGTGTGGAAAAGGGTTGTTGGGAAAGAAATGGTGTCAAAGTACAGCTCTGAAATAAAAACATTATATGTAGAAGTCAAAAGGATTTGAATTTTTTCGTCATTGAGTCTTTAGGAAGTCTGGGGGGTTTGTTTTCTGCACAGCTCTTCCCAGATGGACTTTAGTACTAATCATAGATTGTGGCCATCTGGCTCCAGTGATGCCCTGTTTCAAGGAAATCACAGGGCAACATATAAGATGTGATCTCCTAATTGTGAAATGATCTCACTCTTTCCCCTTGCTCTCTCCCTATTCCATCAAAACACCCAAAGAAACATAGGCAAATGGAAATTTTGACTTTAAAAAAGTTTTACTGCAATCCCCCCAATACTAGATTGGGGTTTTTTTTCCCTTAATATGGATTTATTACCTTGTTGCAAACAGCAGTGGGAATTTTTGGCAGTGTTGTTCTGTCTCCCCATTCTCATTGCTTCTTGCTCATCAGCTTCAGTTGTGCAGAGGCATGATCTGCAGACCAAGTACTGCTGGAAAGGAAATGGTGACACAGCTTTGGGGTATTTTATTTATAATTAATCTTCATGTGGTGTATGAACTAATTTTTTGCCTAAAAGGGTAGTGTCACCATCACTGGTAAACAGTTTTGTAAGTCAGCTGTTCTCCCAGTCTTTAAAACTGTCAAAAATACAACTTGGCTTTTTTTAAATAAAGATACATATAGTTTTCCGAAGTGTGAGCAGGAGTAGACAATTCTTTAAAGAAATGCATATGAGGATTTCATATTAAACTTCTAAACCTGGTACTTTTTACAAGCTTCCCAAATGTTGTGAGTTAGCAGCTCTGAACTTTTGCCTGCTCTCATTCTACACAAATCTTTGTTTTGGGTACCCCAATAAAATTCCCAGAAACACAGAAAGCCTCTGATATGTTTTCTATGTCCAGAAACTTTGTTTATGTTGTGTGGACAGAGAGGTTTATATTTCTATAATTTATATTATATATTTCTATTTGTCTTGCATATTGAACAAGCAAAAGTTCCTGCAGGCGTTCACAGTCTTTCTTGTTTTAGATGAGGACCAGTACAGTGATCATATCATCACACCTCTGGTGGCAGAAGATAAGATTTCTTTTGGAATCAATGCTGTGTGCTCATCTCTTACTACAGTCCAAGATATAAAGAGCTCTTACAATGAAGTGGATGGTCGGCTGATTGCCAAAGAGGTCACAAATTCCCCTAGTCTTAAACAAGTTTTCTCTGGCTTCTAATAAGTTTCCTAGATGTTGTTTTTGGTTTTTTTTATACTTGTTTTTCCATTCCTTAACTTCTACTCATAGGTTAATTTTCACCTATGGAGAGGACTAGATTGGGCAGTATGAGCACAATGTTAAAAGCATTTTTTGAAACGGGAACAGAAGCCATAATTTTCAGGCTTTATGGTAATTTGTTTCAGTCTTTGTTTTCTTAAAGCCTTCACAAGGACTTTTCACATACTATTCTATCATTATTGCTAATACCAGCTCTATTGCTATGTGAAAGTAGTGGCATTGTGTGATGTTGTTAGTGGGTGAATGTTTGCCTTACAATCAACTTTTTATGAAAAAAAAGAGACAGTTTTCACAGTCTAAAATTATTATAATCCTCTAAAATGTTAGTGCATGTATTTGTTACTTTTAGTGTCCCTGATACTACCAAAGTTTTTCTTAAAATGCCTTTTATCTGTTTTAGATTGGGATTAATTCTCGGGACAGTTCAACTCCAATATTCCTAGCTAAGAATATTGCTGGACACCTCTCAGGTTCCTTGCGGACTATTGGGTCAGTTGCTGTGGGCCAATATGGTAAATGCACTTGTCTTAATGCTTAATATTCTTTTAAGAGTGGAGCTTTTTTTCTGACCAATAATGGATTTAGTCTGTGTAACTTCCTGCTAAAGTAACACTGCAATTTCCTAGGGGTAAGAATGTTCCAGTCCTCTCCAGCAGCTACCAGCCTGAACTTTATTGGAGGCCCTGCCATTCTCCTGGGTCTCATTGCTATGGCCCGTGATGACCACACCATGTATGCAGCTGTCAAAGTCCTGAACTCCATCCTCAACAGTAGCCCCTTGAGTAGAAAACTGATGAGGCACATCCATGGATACCAGGTAGACTCACTTTTGTTCATTCATACTCTTCTCTATGTAGACATGTATCCACAAATCTATCTGCAATACATACCAAACATATCCTGACTATTGCTACTTGTGGCTGGAACTTTGCAAGTTGGGAGTGGGATATAGGATAGTGCTCTATATCCTGTGCTTAAAGTCCCTGGGAACCTCTGTAACAGCTTATCTGCTGAAGACAGTGTGAGGACAGGTGCTTCCTGGTCCGACATGATTTCATGAACTAAATAAGCCAGTAAGATTTGTGACTGACCCACTCTTCACCTTTTACCAACACACTTGATCCCACACACAAAAGACCACTTCTCAGGCAGCTTTTCTTCCTCCCTTTGGCCCGTACAGGCTAAGATTCCTCTTTACAGACTGCCCAGTGTAGGGCTGACAATAAATGCTTATGGTTCAGTCTGCACTCTCTATTAGGAATTGTACCAATATAAATAAGTGCTGCCTGAATTTCACTGTTTAGGTCAGACCCAAACTAATCTTTAGACCTGAAAGCTAGGTAGATTGAACATTTTGGTTGTATGTAAAGTCTATGTGTGTAATATTGCATAGATTGAGGCACAAGTATGATCTTTCAGTTTAGTATCGTTTACTTTGTGCTGCTGATGTGAAGCAAAGAACGCTGAAGGAACAGAGAAGATTCTTTAATACACGATTGCATACAAGACACTTAACATTAGGGTTTCATGAATGATTTATAATAAAACTTTCCATTTTTCTATCATGCAAATTATTTATAAATGGATTGAAATTTATAGGAATATATTTATCCTACTTAGATATTGCTTACCCAATCCTTTTGTGTAGATTAATGCCTGCCTTACTGTGTATGAGCTGTTCCTTTTGATTTTTTGCTAAAGTAGTGTTCTCTCCATGTGACTGATCATCATATTGCAATGGAGTGCCTTTTTTTTTGCAGCCAGGTAATACGTGTGTCTTGATATATATTTTCAAATTAATTTCTATTCTTCTCAACCTATCCAAAATGCAATAGCTTTCTGAACATTCTTCTCACAGTATGAGGAAATTGTTGGATAATCAAAGGTAGGCTCAGGTGAGAAACTGACAATAGTTCACAAATGTTTTTCATTTGTGTAGGTAAAAATTTAATATTTAAGCAATTAAGAATACATCCATGAAGAATAGCATAGAACACCTACTGTGGTTATTTACAGTTATAGTTGTCTGTTGCTTTTTCAAAATTACATTCAACATAGTATGGCACATACTTTCCTCCTGTTCAATGTCACAGAGTAGCCAAGCTCCTTCAAAAATTCATCCTTGCACTTTCTGCATGAAATTTTATGTCTGGACTGAAATCTTCATTTTCTTTGTGATTCTTGTGTAAATGCATGCATGCATGATTGCTACATCTGAATAAACTATATATTGGTCTTGAATTAAAGAGAAATGTTATATGTTATTTTATGAATACAGATTTATACTTGTCAGATACTTATTCAGTCTTCTTTTTTCAGTTGCTGAGCTATCTACTGAAGAGGAAAACTCAACTGCTGAACAACAGGATTTTACAGTTAATGTTCTCCCTAGTGGGCACAGCTGAGCTGGGCTTTGAGTCTTCTGTCATCAAGAATTATAGTGCTTTCCAGTATGTTCTCTGCAACTTTGAGGTAAAACTGTTCATGTTACTCTGTGGGTTTGGCTGTATTAAGGATGGCTTTATAATATAAGGTTTGGTTTGTTCGTAGCATCTCCTGGATCCAGTATTTGGGATAGGGTTGTGTGATGGGCTCCCCACTATGGGCTCCCCAGATATGCAGAAACATTTCCAGAGGATCTGCTCCTCAGGGCTAGAACTGGAGCTACAGTTCCTGCACTAGCAGGGACTTCCCAGTGCCTCCAGGTTGCATAATAGAAACACTGAGAGTTTATGATGCTCTCCTCCCTGGTTTTAACTGTTTCTCTGATGCAGCTACTGCTCTCACAGCTCAACAGAGCGGTAAAACCTCTGCTTTCCTTTGTCTTTCAGCTTTGGATGAAAGCACCAGAAAATCTTGACCTTGTTCTTCTTTCCCATCTTGTGGAGATCTTGCAGTCCTCCAGGTATAAACGTGTTTGAATCAGAAATCTGTGGGACAAACTTATCTGTAACCTGAAGCTGGAACTCTGAAGTGGATATGGAGGGTCTAATCCCAGTTGGAATCAGTGGATTCTGGGAATTAATCATTCCTGTATTGCTCTTTCAAGCCTGGAGTTAGTGATTTGATCAGCCCCTGAGATGACTTTGGGGCCAGATTGGGAAAAGATATCTGGTTACCTGGTTCACATGGAACCACTTCTGTACAATGAAAGTTTACATATCTGCTGGGGGTTGGGGGGGGGGGAAATTCGAATGTTTGAATTAACTATAAAATATTTTTTAAAAATATATTATTGAAGTTGTATTTAAAATCAAAACAGAACCATTTTACCAACTTTCCTAATCATCTGGGCTAGAGTTTAAATGTATCTTAAGAGAGAAACAATTTCAGAGGGGCTGAGTATAGGTAGATTCCTGCTTTTTGATAGTAGGAAGTTCTGTGCAGAGCTGTCTGGTGCCCCTTGCTAGGTTTTACAGGAATAGCATTTTTTGCTACCACCTTGCTGACTGAAAATGCAATGATGTTTTCTTTGAACTTGTTGGAATACAGGAGCTCCTGGGGGGGGGAAGGCAGAGGAAAAGAGGAGAACACACAAAATAGTCTTCAGATCTCCATCACTGACACATGTTCAATTTGTCTGACAGTGTTTGAAAGGTTATAAAGACAGTATTAGAAGCCAAAAGTGCAAGGTTTCAGTGCAACCTGAGAATCCTTTCAGCTGAAACTCAGCAAATGTGGTCATTTCCAGTAGACACTTTTAACAGTTCCTGTCCTTTTTTTACAGAGATGCATGTCAGAATGTTGTAATTGCCTACCAGGTGCAAATGGTGCCCAAGCTTGTTTTCCTTTTCAATGATCCTGAAATCAGCAGCTCCAAGATCACTGTGGCCTGTACTATTCTGTATCATCTCTTGCAAGGATACTTTAATACAAGGGATGTTCTCAGGTAACCTTCAAGGTCTACAGGTTTTCCTCAGATTGCAGATGAGCTACACTTCTGCTAGTGCTGAAGAGAGCTCGACAGTAGAGCTTTCCTCACCTTGTCTTTGGTAGAACACCAGATCTTTGGCGACTGCAGGACGCCCTGGTGAAAAACTGATGAAAAACTTTTTTCATTTACTCCAACCTTATATTTGTGTGAAGGTGAATTGGGTGATGACTTTTATAATGGTGGCACAGACAGTTCTGTAGGTATGACTGGGATTACTCAAATATGTACTTAATATTTGATTACATTCAAGCCTTGTCCCTAAAGTATCACTACACTTCTACCATTTGGTCCCAAAGAACTGTGTACCTAATCCTGTTGGTTTGGCTTATATCCCAGTAACAATCCTTTTTGTTCCTGAATTTCAATCAGTTATGTTAGTCAGGATTTCATGAAGCGTAGCATTTCCATCCTTGTTTGCTCTTCACAGAATGTAAGCACTGCTTCATTTTATATTCCCAGCCTAGCTGCATCAGCCTGTAACCTCTCAGCTGAGGAAAGTCCACATAGTGCTGTCTACAGCCACCTAATTCCCAGGGAAATGCACTGCGCAGATGGCAGCTCTGTTTCTAAAGCTCTGATGTTAATAAAATGTTGAAAAAGAGTTGCATTTCAAATCTGTGGACTCTGCCTTTTGCACTGCTGGAGAGTATGAGCACCTCTAACAGTTAACTGTGGAGTAAGCTAGTACATGAACTTGGTGTTTCCTGCTCTTTTTTGAATGTGTGCTCCTGGATATATGTTATCTGTATGTATATATATATTCTTACCCTGGGCTTGCAGGAATTAGTCTGTTCTTTTTATCATATATCGTGAGACAAGTGAGAGTCCTGGATTTAGAGTATCAAATTTTTTGTGCTGTAAAGAGTGCAAATGAGCATTTTTTCTTAAATAATGATGGTGTTTTATTCCATGGTAATATGATTAGTTGTTAGGCCCATGACTGCTGAGAGAGTGGACAGTGAGAGTCCTTGTCTTTCTAGCTCCAGGACAGCAGAGACTGTAGCAGGCTCTCAGCAGCACTGAGAGGTGCTGGAGTTTCTGCTGCTCCCAGATTTGGATTTGTAGAGGGAATTGCTCTGTAGGCCATTCCTGCAGAACAACTGGTGTTCTGTCCCTTAAGAAATATCCTTCTTGAGGGTAGGAGATTGTGCACTCTCACTAAATTTAAATTACAAGTGAAAAAAGGGTGCCAGTCCTCCTCACAGTGGACCTGCTAAGGTTTCTCTGTTCTCCTCTATATGCTTGGAAACCAAGTGTTGATAAGTGATATCAGAATGCCACAGGCTGCCCAGAATTTTTCATGTAAACTGGGTGCTTTACTCAGTATTCCTTTTCTCTTGATGAAAGACATTTAAAGTAGATAGAGAAAACGTTTCCATAGCAGAATATATTTTACTTTGATTTGTAGATAGTTTCTGCCATCACAATATAAGAAAGATATCAAGCTATTAGAAGGCATTCAAAGACGGGCCTCCAAGGTGAAGAGCCTTGAGAAGAAGCCAGATGAGGAGTATCTGAGTTCACTTGGGCTATTCAGCCTGGAGGAGACTGCGGGGAGGCCTCAATGCAGTTACAACTTCCTCAGGAGGAGAAGAGGAGGGGGCAGAGTTTTCTCTTTGTTGACCGAGGACAGGACCTGAAGGAATGGCCTGAAGCTGTCAGGGGAGGTTTAGGCTGGATATCAGAAAAAGGTTCTTCCTCCAGAGGGTGGTGAGGCACTGGAACATGTTACCCAGGGAAGAGGTGACAGCCCCAAGGCTAACAGAGCTCAACAAGCATTTGGACAATGCTCTCAGGTACAGGTGTGACTCTTGGGGTGTCCTGCTGAAGGCCAGGAGTTGGACTTTGATGATCCTTGTTGGGTGCCTTCCAACACAGCACATTCTGTGACCTTTTAATTTACTTCCTAGTTTATGGAATTTTCATCCTATTTCTGAAGTGACTAAAATTACTAATGGTAGTTGTTAAGTCATTGTTACCCAGTATTCAGCTTTGCATATAATCTCCAAGTAATTAAATTAATATCTTTCTGTTGACCATAACTGTTCACACTTTCTCTGAAAGGATTGGATTGTTCCTTGTTTACACCTTGAAACCTTCTTCTGTGGATGAAAATCAGATTTACCTGGAGAGTGTGGCTGAGATGCCCACTGAAGGTGAGGGGCTGCCTTGGGGGTTTGTATTGTGATAGGTAACTACAGTATTCCCCTCCTTCACCAGGACCTGAGGAACCCTAATTGCAACATTAGTGCTTCTGCCTCTTGTGGCAGGAAGAGGCAAAATTCGAATTTCCTCATATGGGAAGGGACAGGCTGCACGGAGGTGACCCTTTTGTTCTCTCTCTGCTAATAAACCCAGGAGTACTTTGGCTGCATTGTCCAGAGCTGACACAGTGCTGGATTTCAGATATACACAGAAAGGAAGGACATTAAATTGAAATTTTCCCCAAACTACCCTACTGGGCTGTTACAAGGAATAAAATTTCAATGGGCATCCTGGATTTTCTGTGAAGACTTTACTAAATTGTAGGAAATAACAATGTAGAGCTCTGCACCTCTTAAAATATCTGTGTATTTGTCAGGTTCACATGGAAGAACATCCAGTCATTTGTCCCTTTTACTGTGGTCTTTCAGTTGAGGTTTTATTGTTATTGCACCTCTAAACAAGAGATTATTAAGGAGACACTGGTAACTGCAGTTTCTATATAGACATCTCAGCTAGACAATACAAGTCAGATTGCCTGTTTGAATTTCTCTCTCTAGTTAACCTGAGATTGCTTCCTGTGAGATACTGTTCAGCATGCATTCTGAATGAGTTCTAAATAACTCTAAAGAGAGGACATTGGCAATATAATCACAGGTTGTTTCTTATGTTAGCAGGAATCCTTATGTCTAAAATTTGACGTTCACGTCATTTTATTCTGCAAAAACCCCTGATTTAAGTACCTCTGCGGGGCTAATTTGGTGCAAACAAAACTGTTCATCAAAGCAATGGAACATGTTTTGTCTCTTCATAACTTTTTTACTACTTTCTGATATTTATAGCCTTAAACCAAACATCTGGAAAGACAATCTGTCTTCGAAACCAGCTACTGAAGATGCTGTTAGATGTAATACGCTCAGACAAACTTCACCTGTCCTCTGAGTAAGTAGAAATATTTAGGAAGTTAAGTGTTTCTGTCTTCCAGATTTTTCCTCTTCCTGATGTTTATCCAGGACTAAACACACTGGTAATATTTGAATTTCAATAAATACTAGGAGCAGATTGGATTCAGAGAGACTTTTTTGTCAGTGATTTATCTGGCATTCACACAGCTGCGTGGCCTGGTCACACATCTGATATCCATTTTGGAAAAAGTCTCATGTTTTCAGAAAATACAGTGAAGGGAGAACTTGGATATTGATGCTTCTTCTGCACAGCAGGGGTTGAAGAAATCCCATATGTCTCTGAAAATTAAGTCAATCTAATGTGGGATTACTTACACCCCTCTATCATAACCATGAGATTGCCGCTATTATAATTTGACCTTTCATAACTGAAAGGCAGATTTCATAGTGTTTGGAGCTGTAACTGTGCATTTTCATTAAATTGCACATCTTGGACTTGAAAATTTAGACCAGAATTTTGAATTGCATAGCTTGAAAGATCTAGTCTGTGATGTAGTTTGCCTCAGTTATTGATATACACTTTTAAAAGGAGCTTCATATTAATGAGCTGTTTTCCTGACACTAATACAGGCTTATATGTAGCAAGAATTGAATGACTTCATCTGTGTGGATGAGTCTGTTGTTAAATATTTGTGATTCTCTGTTGTGGTACACCTTTAATGAGATCTTTTCTAGAGAAACATGAGCTTCTAAATAATTTAACGATAATTTTAAATAATATCTCCTTTCTGTCTTCCATCATGTTTTCTTCCATGTATTTTAATTTACGTGTTTTTCCTAGGGAAAAAGAAAAGACGTTTTTGGCACTGGGGCCAGACTGGTTTCTGCTGTTCACACAGAGCTACCTGCACTTCAGCACAGTGGTCCTGGGAATCAAACTGCTTCTGTGCTTCCTCCATGATCGTTTGCTGCTCAGCAAATTCAAGGAGGGGATAGTGGCTGGGCGTTGGCTGGAAAACAGCTCTACAGGGTTGAATATTCTGATGGGTATGTGTTTGTTTAATGCTCCCAAAACACTGCCTTTATCCAGCTCAGTGATGGAAGATGACTCTGTACATGATAGGAGAATTCCCACTGATCTCAGTAGACCAAGACTTAAAATTATTTTCTAGGGCAAACTTGTCCTGGTACTTCAGCATTTCTGTGCTGAAAAGTGATAAGTATTACTTCTCCCTTGCAGGTAATTAACAATTCTGATTAACATCTGAAGGGAAAAATGGGCCTTTTTGTGTTGCACAGAATCAGGCTACTTTATAAGCCTGTAAGATGTTCAGATGTCAACTTGTGCTCTGAAACTTTTTGTTTCTTAAAGATTTGTTCAGCCTGATTTTTGATAATTAGACATGGGGTTCTGAGAAAGGGAGGAGAAAGGAAGAAGAATAATTCAGGGAGAAATACCTTTAATAAAAATGAAAGTGGGAAAAATCTTTATCTGTTAGTCTGGTGGTGTTTTTTAAACTGTTGATACTCTGTAGCCTAGCAGACTAGTGTTATGGGACAGAGACAAATGAGGATAAAGTTGTATCAGTAATCCTTCTGGTGATATGACATTTATTTTTAGACACTTTTCTTTTCTTTTCCTTTAAAGATAATTTAAAAAGTCATCCTTCAGTGCCTGACAATGGCTACTTCTTGATTTTTGGTTTTTCTGTATTGCAAAAATGTCTGACTGATCATGTTCACATCCCTGAGATCTACTTGGTTGTGGCAGAGCTCTTTCTGGCAACTCCACAGTCTGAACCACCTGAAACAGTCAAGGTATGAAAAAAAAAAAAATAGCAGACAAGCACCTGAAGCTGCTACTGCATTACTATTTTGACATGTTATTCCCTTTTTCATGAGAGGATTCTCAGGTATATTAACCCTACTTGGGTTTTGTGATAATAAAAACTATTCATGATTTTAAAATTAGGGTAGTTAGCTTTGATTTAAGCAAATTTGCGTTCAGAACAGCCTTGTTCATGCAGGTGATAAATGTTGCAAATTTAATAGAAGAGGAAGGAGATGCTGGAGGTAGACACATGGTGGTTTTGTTCTGATACAGAGAAAGCAGGCATTGTCCTTGATGTATCATTCATTCCCATCTCTTAATGAAATATCTTTGCTCCTGTGTAGAAAGATCTTGAGTCTATGTTGCAGTGGATCTTGCATCACCACCTTAGAGAGAATGTCCTCAAATTTGGGTTGTGTGCAGAGGCAGCTGTGTTGCTGCTGGAAATGGTTCGATTCACTGCGGACAAGGTAAGTGTTTTGTTGCAAGGACAGTGCAGTGTGAGTGGCTGAATAAAGAGTCCAGGTGTGGCAGCTGCTGGTGGCAGCCTTTATTTGTCCTGCTCTGCCCTCAGAGGGCAGTACTGAACATGACAGTGAGCAGGGACTTCCAAAGAGCACAACTACTACCCTGGTTATGTAGCACAGGATGTGATGGGCTCATGTTTAAGAGAGACCAGAGACAGATCTCGCCCACAACAGTACTCAGTCTTTTCATTCTTGGTGATGATATGTCACCTTTCTGGTTTGGTGTATCTTCAGTCTGCAAAGTGGGGCTTGGCTATTGGTGCCTTGTCTGATTTTTGTGACTGTGTCACATTTGCATAGAAATACTAAAGAGGAACAAAGATAAGCTTTCATGAATGAGATGAATGCTGCCTTGACCAGATGCACATTTGTTCAGTCTATTGCAGATGCAGAAGCCTCCTGGGCACTTGCCTATCCAGGGAATGTTATGGAGTTTCTGTGCTTGATCTATCACAGTTACACACAGGACCCCATGTGGCACTGTCCTGACTTCCTGAAAGCTTTGGCTATGCTTGCTTTTCATTCAGGACCACCCAAGGTATGTATATAGCATAAGCCCTTCAGACCAGTGATGGGTCACGAGGAGAAAAAAATAATCAATTTACAGTAGACTGAGTGTAAATATATTGCTGTCTACTTTCACAGGGTGGGTCTGAAGACCTTTTGACTCCTGATGGTCCAGCCATTGCTGAAGGGAAAGGCTGTGCTGATCCCTGCTCTATCCCACTCCTACCACACCCTGCCAAGAAACAAGTGTGGGATTTTGTGAGAGTCCTCCTGATGGACAGTCTTCTGAACATCCCAGCAAACAAACAAGGACATCCTATTGAGCTGCTTCTTGAGGTTTCTCTTATCAGCAGGCTTTGCTGTTCTACCTTGCACTGGGGGTGGAAGGACAGGACATACTCTGCCAGTGACCTAGTAAAATAAGTACTAACAGTGACAAAAGGAAAGGACTTCTCTATTTCCTCTGCATTAATGTGAACAAAGAAAATGCTGTCCCTGGAAAACAAAAAAAGACATTTTTCAGGCAGTGTTTAATATTGAAGAAAGGTGTGGGGAAAAAAATCCCTTTTCTCTACTAATACCTACTTGTCATAAGGGCATCCCCTGAATTTGTTGAGAGCAGAAGATTTCAGATGGAGCATCCTTTGCACTGATTTTTGTGATGGCAAAATCTCAGTTCTCAAACAAAAAAAATCCTGTTTCCACTTGAAGTACTGATTAGCACGAGCTGTAGCAGCTGAGTCTGGATAATAGATTTCAACCATTCAAAGCACTCTAGAGAATCAGAGTAGTCTGAAGATAGGAGAAAATGAAAAATTTAGGCTTCAGCTCCAAATTGTCAATAGTCCAGGTGTCCCAAATGTGAATTGTGATGCAGACTCATCTTAGTAATATGGGTAATAAGGAACATAATCTTGACTGCAATTGTAATGAGTTAAATCCTCTTGTGGAGCAACAGCTCCTTAAAGGTTTATATATACTATCCCAAGGTTTGGTACAGTTAAAATAGTTTGGATTTCTGACTGTCTGAATACTGAGCCTGCTAATGGAGCTCAATGTCCCTGAGCACAAGACCTCTTGGGAACCACCTGTGAGCCAAATTCTGGCCCTTTGCAAAACCTTGTTTATGTTCAGTGTGCAGAGAGCCACTGTGCTGCTATCAGCTGGATGGTGTAGTCCTGTGTAAGATTTCCTGGTTTTACTGCTAGGAATGAAGTTCTGCCATCTCATCTCTTGTCCAGTAGCTGTCCACATAGGCACTCTTGCTGAAAGTGAAGCTGAGTCAGAGTTCCTGTTTTCCTGCTGAACTAATATGTATGCCATCATTGTATAGGCTTCTCCAGAAGATGCCACCAGTGAGCAGAAGAGACTTTTTCAGACAAAAGTTCTGCTGTCTGCTATGAATGTCTTTCAGGTTACCAGCCAAGGTGAAGGGAAAACGAGACCTAGAGGTGAGTGGTGAGAATCAGATTGTTGAACTATTGTTTAAATATCATGCTAACTGATAATTTAGCATGTAGGTATAATTGTTAGAAATGTTTGGAAACAATAGCTAGAAGGACAGTCTAGTTCAGAAGGCCCCACTGTCCATTCTAACTTGCTGTAAACCAGTTTGCAAAAATTATTATAATTTTATAATTTTTTTCTGGAGAGCCTCTTCCTTTTTTTCTTTTTGACAAGAGATTCTGAATATTAAAAAGGGAGTATGCAGAAAGAAACCTAGGTTTATTCTTGAATGCTTCTGGAAACCACCCCATTAACTTAGTTGTTTCTGCTCTCCTTTCTGAGTTGTTAAACCAGTTCTTCATTACAGAATTTAGTGAGATTGGTTCAATCCTTAAGATGGAGCTGTCATTTCCAGCCTGAGTAAATTGTGTCTGCTGTACCTAGAGTCTTCTTAGACATGTCCCAGCTCTGAGATGTTGTGGTATCAGACTGTTCCTTCTCAGATGTGGTAATCTCACATATCACTTCTTCTTAATTTCCTCTTGTTTTGGAATAATCAATCTTTTATATCCTTTCCAGGGAGCAGTGATCCTCATGGTACTTCAGAATCAGCTGCACCCCCATCCATGATGAATAATACTTATTTTGTTCAGAAGCTCATTGAGAAGCTGAACAGCAGAATGTTTGCTGCTGACCCCAAGCAAATCCTGATCTTCATTGCCAAACAGATTATGTGGGTGAGTCACCTTTTTTCCTCCCCAACTTTTATGAACATGCTGTAACATGCTGGTTTTTTACACTGAGGTCGTGATACTGCAATTCTGAAGAAGATGGCTGTAATCCATTTGGTAATTGTTGTTATTCCTGGTTTTTTTGCATGAGAACATAACAGCTGTAAATTATAATTAGAGATTGATGATGCAGCATAAAGAAAGGATAGCTAACTCTTTTGTGACACTGTCGGCTGTGTACAGATTGTTGAACTGGGATAAATTAATCTCTTCCACAGTTCTGGGGACTTAAGCAGAACTACATAAAAATATAATTTTTATGTAACAGGTAGTTCAGGGGAATTTTGCTGAAATAAATTTCTAACAGCTTAAATGAAGTGGGAGGAGTGGATCCTTGGGGAGAAAGTTCTTTGAGCAAGCCAAGTATTCTCCTGTTTTGTGTTTTCACAGGTCTTAGAAAGCTCTGTTTCTCAAAAGGAAGTTTTCCTCAGTGCCCTGTACAGCTGCTTAAACAGAGCCATCCTATACTGCTTGTCCAGACCACAACAGTCATTGCCGGAACAGTTTAATGTCCTGAATACTCTCATTGTTCTGCAAGAGCAGTGGGACATTATTTTTGCAACTTACAACTCAAATAGTAATTTTGTCATCTGCCTGATGTACTGCCTTTGCCAACTGAACTCAGGCAGGTACAAATGTTCATCTTATTATGGTTCTTTATTTCTCTGTGCTGTACCTATGGAGGTGGGTGCAGTGGGGGAGATGTCACATAACTTAGGCAATATTCAGTCTGGGGAATCACTAGAAGCTGAGATTGAGCCAGAGCTAGCATTTCCAGCAGCTTACTCACTTCAGAGTAGGAACAGCAGTTAACAAGCTTGAACTGATTTCAGTGGAGCTGGCTCACAAGCCCATCAGGAAAATGAACATCTGGAAATCTTCCTGGGATGTGGGCTCACTCCACAATGATGTAGGTTCCCATTATCCAAGACATCTGCATGGGATAATTTAGTGAGATGTTTTTTTTTTTCTGATCCAGCAGTCATTTTTGTGTGGGTACACTTAAAACTTATAGAAGTGTGAATGGATCTCGTGATCTTTTGTGTTGTTGTTAGTTAGATCTGAGTTGCAACATTTTTAGTTCGTCTGATGTGGGGAATTTTGCCCTTTGCCATTGGGTAGGGCTAGAATATCCATACCCACTGTTTGGTGTTCTTACAGATGTTGATAGAACAGATGTACTTGTGCTAATGTAAGCTGGGCACTTACCTTGCAAGTTTAGTTTTGTGAAAAAAAGCAAATATTGGGAAGTGCATTTTTCACTTTAACGTTTCTTGTTTCAGTGATAACCTTCTGTACTGCTTTGATGGTCTGAATTCAGTCCATTAATACAGTATCACACCAGAAATGAGCTGTGCTTCCTGAGATCTTTTCTGGATGTTCTTATTCCAGTCAGATAATAATTTCCAGGCCAACCTTGTTGAGATGGGGCAAGGATTGCTTTTATGGAGTAAGAGCAAAAACTCTTTTTTGGAAACTAAGCTATGGAAGGATTTGTTTTCCAAAAGCTAGGCTTCGCAAATCCAGGGAATAATAACTGTGGTCTTTTAAAGAAAATCAGAAATAAAAATGTTTGCTTTGCATACCTAAAGATTTGAATCTCCCAGGCCCCCCAAGTAGGGCCTGTTCAGAATTTAAAGAACCTAGTGTGTTACTAGTGGCTATATATCCTATTATTGACAGCAGTTCTGTGACAAAGTCCAGATTTCCTAGATACCTTATGCAAGCCTGTTTTTTTGGTTTTTTTTTTTTAAGTATTACTGCTGTACTGAAGTTCCTAGTGTCTTTTACCTCCTGACTGGCAGATTGTGGCACAGCCTCCAGTCCCAAAGCAGAAGTCCTCTTGGCCATGGTGATGTTCTCAATAATCACATCTACATGCTAATTGTACCCATGGTGCTAAGATTATAGCTTTTTTGGGCTGAGCGCTTTAGACACAAAATGAATCATCACTGATTCAAAAAACTTGGACTAAGCAGTCAAGTGTAGGGTACAGCAAGACACAGATTTCCACAGAGGGGGCAGATACCTCTGGCAAAGGAATTCAGAGTGAAGAGACAAAGTACAAGACGCCCAGGGGAGGTGCAGGAAGGCTGGATGCAGACTGGATACATCAGGACAGCCCTACCTAATTGGGGTGAATAGTAGATACAAGTGCCGTAAAGTGCAGGGATAAGGTACATACAGGAGAGTGATCTACAGGGTTATGAATGACTGTTCCTTGACTTTGAAAACCAGACTACCAGTTGTCCAGTTCTCACTTTCTAAAAATTCCATGGTATTACATGACTGGTGTAAGGTCTCAAACATGAAAATACTCATCTACTAAATGAATGAAGTAGGATTGGATGTGCAGAAATGCCTGTAGCTCGTTCATTGTCCTCAGTTTGTTCTAAGTCTGGTTTCCTCACCTGCCCTTCTTTTTTTTTTTTTTTCCCCTTTGTCACAGCTGTTCAGAAGGTTTTGGGTTGGATGCAAAACCAAAGCTGGCTTCTTATCACCAGATTTTCCTTGCACCCAGTGAAGAGGAGAAGGTGGTGCCTACTCCAGATGATGGTAATTTATATGGCACATGTTGCCTGTGGCTTAGAGAGGAGGAAAATACCTGTCTTAAGCAGCTTGTGCAAGTGCCACTTACTTCCTCTTTGGTGTACAGGCACTGCAAGCACAGCACAGAGAAAGGAAAGTTGTGCTAAAAAATTATTTGTGTTTGCATCCAGCCTTTTTATTCAAAAGTCACACCCAGCATCCTCAGGAGCAGTTGGTATGAGTTTGGAAATCTCTCCTCCCTGTTACGGCCAGTATAAGGAGCCATACATATAAATATTTTTAGTTCTTTTTTTTTTGTTTGTTTTCCAAGGCCCATACAGGATTTGTCTGTTATATGCAAAAAGTATTTGAGCATTTCAGAAAAACAGAAAAAAAAATTGGGTTGGATTCAGTGTGGTCAGCTGAACCCTGCAGCACGGCAGTGTTTTTTTTAAAAAATTTTTATTTTTTAATATATATTGGTCTGGTTAAGATACAACTAATCAGTTGGTTTGCAGGGAAATAGAGCAAAACAACTCAGCACTTCCTTGTACAATATTCTCCTGCTGTATCAGATTGTTTAACAGCTTGGTTACCTTTGCCCCTCCATCTCCAGTGATGTTTGGCAATATAAAGGAATGTCCTTTATATTCTTTAGCATTCTACGCATGATAATAAGATCATCAAAATTCTGATTAAATGGTTTTCCAAATAAGAAACCAGTTAAAACCACTCACTCCTACTTGTTTCTTTCAAGGACTTAAAATTCATGAAAGAAATGTCCTGCTGTTTTCTGTATTAGATTAACTAGTCTATCTTAGAACCTCTAGGGGCTGTGGACAAAAAGAAACAACTCCACTGACTCTGGCAGTTACCAGTGCTTTACCAAATGAGATGTTTTTGCTTTACCTGTTGCTTGACTTAAAAACATAAAAGAATAATTATTTTTATGGTGTTACTTTTATTTCCTAGTCCACCAGGAGATCCTGAGACTGATAGAAATCATCTGGAAGCAGCTCATTTCTCAGAGGCGGCAGGCTCTGGAGGACACTTACAAGATGGATCTTTCTGTAAAAGGAAATGACAAAGAAAGGGACATGAAGATAACAGAGATCACTCCTTTATGGGAAGAAATTATGACAAAAGCTTGGCAGCACTTGCTAGGTCTCTGTTCTTTTATGGAATACATACTGTAGTAAGCAAATCATTGTGGTAAATGGGGTGTCTGGTGGAAAGCTGCTGTTCCTTGGTTATGCCTTTCCTCATTTGCTGAGAAAGCAGATTCTCAATTTCTCTCATTTAGGGCTGTGATTGCTTTCTGTGCCATAACCCAGCCTTTCTGTAATCACCTGGTGGTGTCACAGGGCTTATGTTGTACTGCAAGAAAGAGACTTCTCCTGAGATGATTGTAACCCATAGGAAGATGTAAAAGAGAGGATATGGTTGAAAGAAGGGCATTGCAATATGTGTAGTGTTGCAGTCCTTTAAAAATTCAATTCTGTGTAATGAAACTCATCTATGGCAGACCTCTGTGAGGCTTTTAAATAAAAGCTTGAGAAGTATGTGTTAAAGCAATTCTCATAAAAATAGATAATTATTCATCTGAAGTGACACACTACCATGTTTTTTGTCTTGTGTAATGGGGATAGAACCCCTCTGTTTTCTGACAGGCTCAACTTCAAGTCTTAAAAGCCTTTTTGTCTGTTTTCCCTTGCAGTATCTGAAAAGAAGCTTCTCCAGAATAAAGCAGGGCCAAGCCTGTCCCAGAGCAAGCACAATTCCTGGAGTGAAAGCCTCTCTTCAGCTATTAGGTTCATACCTGGCCGAAACACAAAGGAAATGCCTTGCAAATCAGAGGTAAATTTTGCTCTTTGTCTTTTCTGGGGCACTGGTCTGCCTTTTATATTGCTCTGGAGAGTTTTGCTGGATTTGGGAGGCTTCTGAGTGTGTCTGTTGGTTGACATGTTCCATTGTAAACTAGACCGCTATTGCAATTGAGGTTCCTTTTCTAGGCTGCTAGAAATAATCACAAAGAGATAGTGGCATGAAGAACTTTTTGGCAGCCTGTTCATATGGTCTAATAATGAATTCTTGCTGCGTAGGGCCCAATTATGGCACTTGAAAAACCTAAGCAGCCCAGATTTGTTTGTGCTTACAGACCTCTGCTTGGGGTGGAGCAAGGTGAGGACATGCCAGCTTTGCTGCTGACTTGCATCACCTTTGTAAACCTTGTCCTTCAGGCACTGAATCTGTAGAAAGGCTCAGGTGTTATCATAGTACTATCCTTACATTTTCTACTCAATATGAAGTATTAGAGGTCTAAATTTTAATTTAGCCCCTAGAGATAATGAAAGAAGTCTTTGTATATAATCCAGGGATGAGTTTGGAGGGTATGCATAATTCCTATATTCTCATTGTCAGCAATGAAGATGTGAATTATCTTTTCCAAGTGTAAGCTCCTCCTTTGCTAAAAGAAGGGTCCATTCCCATGGTTTTGCTTAGCATTGTCAAAAATTTACATGAAAAGCACTAGATAGATGTTACCTTTCAAGTGTACTAGTGGTAGAGTAATGAGATATAGGGCAGAAGTGCACTGACAGAATATTCAGAGCTTTAAACCAAAGCTGGTTTAAACCAGGTTTAAATGTGGTGTTCAACTTTATAAGGTGTTTATTTTTCTTCCTGAGACAATGAATCTGTTATGAGCCTTAACCCTCTAGCTCAAGCTATAGGAGATTGAAGCTTTATGCTTGGTGATGCTTGGTTCACTTCCAGGTGTGCTTATCATTAAGACTGTGACACCCAGCTAATGTGTCTGAAACTGAGCTGCAAGGTTTTTTCAGCATGCCACAGAATCCTTCTCCTTAAAATCACTTTGCTGCTTACACAGTGAACAAGCTCTTCCCAGGTACATATGTATACTGTGATGTCATACTACAAGAGTGTTGACTATTTGCCCTGGGGTCTGTTTAATTATTTTTTAAAATTAATTTTGATTATTACAGCTGATTACACCTCAGTGAGCAATGTAATTGATATTTGTAAATGTATCCCAAGGAACATTTTGTACAACATGCTTTTTGCTGTTGAAGGTTAAAGACTCTGTTATTGGTTTTTCCCTAAATATGCCTACATCATTAGTTCCTCCAGTGAAAAGGTTGCCATCTGGAAAAGGCAGCACGGAGACATTATTCAGGCACAAGTGCATGAAATTGGTGTTTCTATATCTTCTGTCTCTCTTCTGCAAGGAAGCTGCTTGTAATTAAAGGAGCTGGGTTTGGAAGAAACATTAGTCACTTGGTGTTATTCCTTATCATGTCAAATACTGACAGCTGCATAGCTCTGATAAATTGTTCTTCTCAATGAGATATAAAACTACAGTTCCAAATGTTCTTCTCCTTTCTCCCTCCAGTCTGTCTTTCAGAGTTTGATGCACTTCTTAGAGAGGTGAAATCTAAGAGGAAGAAAATGTTGAGCTGCCTCTCAACAGCCCTCTTCCTTCATACACTTAAATTTAAAAAGTTACATTAAAAATAAATGATATTTGTATTTTTAATTTGTATTTTTGACAACTTTGATAATCACTTTAGAAAGTACTGTAATGTAATTTTTGTATAATTTTCTGTGCCTGGTGACTTTTGTGTTCACTACTGCCAATTATGGATTTATGTCCTACAGCAGTAAGCACCAGGTCGAAACATGGAGATTAAAGGAAAAATAACAGTATGAACTACAGAGTAAGGAACAAAGAATTTAAATCCCATAGCAAAATAAAAATACTTGCTCCTAACAGAGCAAAGAGAAGTGCAGAAATTCACCCAAGATTTCAGAGGTGTGTGCCCAGCAGAAAGAAGAAACTGGTTGTTTACAGGGTTATTAACTTGATTCCTTTATCAAATGAAAAATAAACAGACATTGAAGGGGCGGTATTATTTGCTGCAGACTAAAACAAACTAAAAACAAGCAGCAAAATAATCCTCTTAAATGTTTCCTTGTAATTTTTTACAAGATGGGAAGACTGCTTTTGAGACCCAATCCTCAATCTGGAAAAAACAGCAAAATTCAAACTATTCACTCCAACAAAGGATCAGACTCCATGTTTCCGTTTTACTTTTGCTCATGTTCTCCATCCTCAGCAAAACAAATTTCCTGCTATTTGGTGGCAAGTGTGAGAATTAGCCATCAAATGCAGCTGTGTTTTCTGCACATTTCTGAATACACTGTGCTGTCTCATGCTTGGCTTGTGGCTTTGTCTGGGAGGCATGATCATTTAGAAAAGAAAGTGTAATTACATTTCTGGTAGTAGAATGGCAGTGATCTGCTCTGGTAATTGTATTTTCTTGGAAATCTGAGTAGTCATGCAGGAGCATGAGGAACACTGTACAAAGTTGGATTTTTTGATGCTTACAGGTGACAGACTTTGGTAAATTTGCCAGCAGGAAGGTCTAAGACTGAACACAGTGCCAAAGATTTCAAATCACTGACTTTCCTGTTTCAAAGTGAGCCTTTTGATCTCTTGCTCTTTCTTCTCTTTTCCCCCTCCTGCCCAGTTTTGCTCTCAAAATCTAGTATAGGTATTTGATTTTTAGGTTAACAATGACTGTGACTGTTTTTGATATCATAAAAAAGCTACAAAAGCAGCAAAGGATCAATGTAGCAATTGTATTTCAGTCAACTGTAAATCAGAGCTTTTCCACGCCCTGTCCTGAGACTCTTTAGGACGAGTTTCTGAGCAAGGTTATAAGCACCATAGTTCTAGTGCCTGCAAGACACACTGCCTCAGAACTGTAGATATAGTTGTTGTCTTTACAGAAATGCAGAGCCTTCTCAGTTTTACAGGAGGCCTGATCATGCCTGTCCTCTACTGTTTTTGTTGATTAACTGCATTCCTCTATGCTAAAGGCCCACATAACTTGAAACAGAAAAGGTCTTTTTAATCCCATTCTTCAGAATTAAGAGGTTGAGACCTCCTAATTTGTAATTGCAAAGCCAGAAATGTTACTCAAATCTTTTCCTTACCAATCACTCAGTTGGTCTTTTATCAGCTTTTCAAGTTAACTGAGTTAAAACAAGCAAACATTTAATGATATTTCTTTGAAAAGAGCATCATTTGTGTAACATGTTTATCTTCATAATAGAAGGATAATTAACATCACTAATTATCTAATTAAGTTCATTAACTATCCACCAACAGTGCACCGTGAAGTTGACATTATGTTCTTCTGTCAACAAATGCTTTGATTTCTTAGGAAGTAATTAAAATGTAAATTAGCATGTCATTAAATGCACAAGGGAACTTTGGAATCAAATATTCATTTCAAATCTGCTCATAGCACACATTTTTTTACTTCAATGAAAGCAGGCACTTTACTATTAATGATGTATATTAAACAATTTCCATTATAATATTATTGTCTTGTTTAATAACTGGCTCAAAGCTAAATTAAGAGTGCTGTAGCAAGCTGAAAAAAAGTTTCTTTAACTTTGAACAAAGAAATTTTCATGTCCTCTTACATGCATATCTGACACACTTCTCATTTATCATTTTCAGATTGTTTACTAGGTCATAAAGAAATAATTCAACAGGTCAGTGTTAGATAAGAATTGCATGAAAACATAAAATATAGAGCTATTTCATATTGTGTGATACAAATCACTGAACTTTCTGAAACATGTGGGAATCATTTCACCATTCACTGAAGATAAGTGTTTAGCTGAGAACTGGAATATAAATAGGATGAATACAAGCCCTTAGGCTGACTCAGATTCACAGGCCCCTCTGCCTGTCCCCTAAAAATTCATTAGAGGCTGCTACAGGCGATGCTGCGTGATAGCACAGGAGAAAACCTGTCCTAGCAGAATTGTTCCACTCTTGATTGAGATCAGTTTCATCTTAAAACCTGATACACAAAAGATATCACTCAGAAGTTCTTTGTGGGTGGCTCTTCAGAGGGAATTTTCCTGTGTCTTTAAACTCAGTGGTCTCCTGTGGAAGTGGAGTCACACATTGTATGAAAATGTTGCCTGTTATTTCTCCTGCATATTGTTTTAAAATATACTTTTGCCTTTCAAGCTAGAGATTGTGTCTGGATCAGGCTTAAGTTTGGATATAGGATTTTAGTGAGTGGAATTTAATGTTTAAAGCTGTTGGCACCAAAGTTTCATCTTTCAAGAGCTACTGGTTGCAGAGTTTTATTGTCACACAAGAGAACTGATGCTGAATGAATTGACTGGTGTTAACATGGATGAAAAAGGAGTTTTATTTGATTGCACAAAAACCCTAGAAACATGAAAACCCCTGAAAGCCACTGAAACAGATTATTCTTTTCTTTCTTGAATACATAGGCAAATAATTTTTCATAATTCTTGTTTCAAATAGGTCTGTTTCCTTCCAATTTTTTAATTCAACATTTCATTTGTAATAATTTCAGAAAGAAATGGTTTGAATTCAAAAGACTGAAGTGTCAATTTAAAATGAAAAATAAAGAACAGAAAATCAAGAGAGGTCCTAGGAATCTCTGCAAGATTGACTTAGATGTTTCTTCTAAGTGAAGGTATAGGTTGCTGACTCCATGACCATTCATTTCTTTTTGCTCTTGTCTTTTCTAGCCAAATTAAAGTTTGTTTGTGTCTATTTGTGTTCTAATTATACTTTCTGCTGCAGAGCACCTTGAACTACATGCACTAAAAAACTCCAGAAGTAGTTTCATCACCCTTAAATTTAAGTAATTTTAGGAAAACTGTTATCTTTTTAGGTCAGGAGAGAGATGTTTCTTTTTTTCTGTACTCTGACCTCTAAGCATATACTGGTATTTACAGATTTCTTTCATTAGCTACAGGACTAGAAGGGCAATTTT